CTCTGGATATTTTTGTTCTCACTGACCTGGATTTATCTTTGCATATAATTACCAAGCTTATTAATCGTGAAATCAAAAATTATTATATACTATCGATGGAATAATTGAACGACTTGTAATTTATATCCAAAAATTGTAAAAACGTTCGTGCAAAAAAAAATCCATTATACATTTTCATTCCATTGAAAGAGCATTCGATTTTGATGGAATCTCAAATAAGACTAAATTCCATTTTAAACAAGAGACATTTCAAATAGAGACGATCAAAGGCTTCTTCGACACACCTTTCAAAATCGTACGATATTATGTTACACGATGGTAAACACATGGCTTGCGCCCAAGTAAATGCGAAGTGAACGCGTTTCGCAATCTCGGCGGGAGATCTCGGAGGAAAATCGGCGAAGGAGGAAACGAACGAGCAGGTGAGAAAGAGCGTGGAAGGAGGAACGAAAGCGCGGGCAGGAACCACGAAAGACAAGGATCAGGAGGAGAGGTCGGGTTTGCGGTGGAACGGGAAGAGGCGAACAAGGAAGCCGTCGTGGGGAGACCGAGGAAGAAAGAATTGAACAAGAACGGTAAGGAGCAAGGAGTCACACGGTGTTCCATAGGCATAGCGGATCCGGCGTAGCGGTAGATACTTTCAGATAATACTCTCATTTACATAGGTAGGTGCATAAATGAAAAGCAATGCGATGCATCGTGGCGCGCATATGGCGTACGAGTTATACATATCTGGGTAAGTGGATGCAAGTATCTTCGAGATGCGAGATTTGCGAGCATAGCGACGATTATTTTCGATATAGCGTGTTTCGCTATATATTAACGCGTTTCTCTAAATAAATTTAAACGAATAATTGCTCACACCGGATTATCTCGTTGATGCAAACGGTTTATATAGTTGATAAGTGAGTTACCATTCTGCTTAATTAAAATTTTGTAACTGATATTTGCCACGTACGTGCATTCGGATTAATTGATTATTTACTTAAGTAAAATATCTCATAGGATAAAAATCATTTAAGAGAGAAACTAAATTATTGAAGAAATATATGCTATTTTTAAGAATCTTCAAACTTTTGATCCTCCATCGATGTATTAGAGCATATTTACATTACGAATTTAATGTGAAAAATTGATTAAGCAAAAATGATAATTAAGATTAAAATTCTCCGTTGTTGATATATTCTTGTCGATATCACGATCATCGCAATCATTGTAAAAACGATAAGTAAACTTTGCTCCCATACCAACATTGTTTTGTTATATTCGAGTTTATATTCAATTTCTTCGACGTTTATACTCAACTTCTTCTTCGAGGGATCGGTTGATTATTACCTCCCTGTTTCCTTTCACAAGGAAGTTGTTCAAGATGAGACTTGTTTTATTTTCACCGCATATCTCTTTCAACGATTTCTTTCTGTGGGAAGAAGCTTCAATTTTCCGTAAAAAGAACAATTATTTCGACGATTTGCATAATTTCACTCACAGACAGTATCAATGTCTCATAATGATAGCCGCGCAACTTTTGATCAAAGAAACATTATGATTTATCGGAGATGCGATTAATTATGTAATTGCAAACTTTGCGTACATCTTTTGGCTTTCACCGGTTACTGCTGATCAGAAAGTTCGATCTTCATTTTGTATTCATTGCTTCAAGAAAATCCAGTTTCATATTTCCGTTATCATATTTTTTTTCTTCTCAAGGAAGAATAACAGATCGTTAAAGGAACAGCGGTATTCCTTTCAATTACACGGATGAGGAACAAAAATTCACGTTATTTAAAATAGATGAATGTTGTCGAAATGTATTTTCGTGTGCAGTAGCTGTGCAACTGACAAACATCCGGTCGATGGATTGTCTAACGACTGAGACGATTTAATGACTCCTCTTTTTCTATTCCACGGTAGAACTAATTTCGAACTTGCATCGACGATCGTCAACTTCGGTGTTAATTAACGCCATGCCGTGACGAATCTTGAGAGTTCCGAGAAAATTATGGATCGTTCCTTCGGCATTATTCTTCTAATAATTATTTTAACATTTTCTTTTTTACGATTATAAAAAAAATCTTTTGTAATATTTTTGTTTTTAAATTTAACATTTATAAACTATATTCATTAAAATTGTGTTAATCTCATTAATATCATGATGAAATTTGTGATAAATTTTATCTTGACGGCATTGTTATAAATTAGAGAGTAAAAGCGGTACTGAAGCACGGTCATTTGGCCGGAGGGTGATCGTTTCACATCTTTAACGCCATTTTCTGAAGACACTGGTGCCCAGAGGATATTTCTTTTACCATTTCCCCAAGAAACTGTCAAGTTTATTGCACTTGTTTCCCCGAAACAATACATAAAGGAATAGATCTGTGGGCAGGGTGGTCTATTGGAAGAAAACAAACGCGTAAAATTTTTTGAGAGTTCAAATTTCTTAGACTTTAAATCGATACAGCAATCATCTATCTATATTTCCATTCCAATTTTACGAAACGAAATGAATATAATTCCAAAAAGATTTCTAAAAACGTTCGATTCAATTTTATCTCTGTTTCAATTCCATGAATTACGAATTAGTCATAATTTCAAAATGATTCCATAAAATTTATTCAACTTGGGATCTCGAAGTAACCTCGAGATCTTGGTTCTTGCGGTCGTACCAACAGATTAGTTTTAAGTATTCAAACGAGCAAGATATTCGCAAGTATAATGAAAATCGTCGTTCTCTTCAAAAGAGAAATAAGGAATAGACGAAGGATTTTGCGGGAAGAGTTAACAGTATCGGAAGGATCCTGATGCGACTAGCTGCTGGTAGTCTTACCCACGCCATCATCATCCGTTCTATTTCTCGAAAAAAGAACGATCGAGCGAATAGCGGCCGTGAAATCGCGATACGGACGTCTTCGTGCCCGTAAAGAATGATTAGAGGACCGTGGGCCTATCGATGGAATCGCTTTCACAAGACACCCTGTATCATTCTTATTTTATTCCCTCGTCTTCCTTGATTCCTGTATCGAATCGATACAGGCCAGATCGATGAACGTTCGATAATTGATAGTTGAATGAATACATCAACTACCATGCTAACGCTTCGAAATTCGATCCATCAATTTTTTAATAATTCGAGGAAAATTCATTAGGAAACGAAGACAGATAATTGTAGAATAGAATGGTGACTTGAGTAAATTGCATCAAATATTTTTTTAAATATAATAAAAAAGAAGAAATAACTCGTTTCATAATTATCGAATGTGATAGAAATATATAAGATAAAGGTTAATTAAAAAGGTATTCGTCAGGCATTTTCCCAGAAAGGAAAATTCTCAATTATGTTGCGTAAAGATGTGTGATAACGATGTGGCAATGTAAGGCTCTTGAACACAACAGAGTGAAAAACGCAAAAGCAATGCCAACACGTTTTTCCTTATACACGCGTACGCTGCACACTTTCGTTCCGCAATTTATTCGGAATGCTGTCTCAAGCGCCACCTTGGATGCTTCTTCACGAGAAACACCGATGAAACGTACGAGTCAATTTCCACTCTGGTAATTTCTTTTTTTCGCGGAATTATTCCTTTTAAAGTTTCGCATAAAAAAAAGTAAAATATGTAGTTAGGATACTTTCCTGAACGCATTTAAAATACAATGTGATCTTGGAATGCAATATTTACTCGAGCAAAGTGAGCACAATTTCTCTTTAACGACTCGTACTTATTGTCATTCGTGTCCCGTTAATTGTATCACATTCAATTCGCCATCAGATTAATTGAATAGCTTATTTTTTTCATGGATGTAACTGTAATGTCTTAATTATACTCACAAATAGAAACAATATTGAATTATATAAGTAAAATGAAATCGTGATCAAATTAATAATAAATGCGTATTATATTCATATATTATCCTGAACATCCCAAAGCTCTATTAAAATAATCTTAAGAATCTTAATGTACGCATTAATCTGTCAAGATAAAATATATGTCTGCTGAATGAATTCCATGAATTGCGTGCATAGAAAATTTCTAGTTCAGTCGTGAACTAGTATAAAAGATGTCCATCCTTTTGAAAAATAATGAAACGAGCAAAAATATTAACATCAAATGAAGATCGCAAGATTGATTCCTTATATTTTAAATCACACATAGTAATTAAAAATGCTTTCAATATTTCAAAGATAAAAAAAATGTGAAAATAATTCGACAAGTCCAGTTTCGAAATCAAATTCCCCCAAGAGATTAAAAAATTATAACTTATCAATTTTTTCTTCTGCGATCTTCGAGTACCGTAGCCATAATAACATTCAGAAGATTGCATCGCAACAAGATGCCTTGACTTTCTCTCATTGTAATACTCGCGGCGATTTTTATGGCCACGCGTAATTACTCGATCAACATGGTCGGTTCGAAGGTGTCGAGATCCCGAGCGCTTGATAAAGCATCGTCCACACGAATCTCCACTTGAACAGAAGCGTGGTAAATAGTATTTACTTACTTACTTAGCGAGGGATCGAGAAGAACGAGCATGTGGGTGAAGGCTGCGGCGGAGGGCTCTCCAGGATGTGTCGAAAGTGAAACCCAAGGCCCTCGTGGCAGCTTCGTGTTCACGCCGGTCGAGGAACGCCACGTTCGTCCTCGACGGGCTCGATCATTGTTTTAAATCGAGATTGATCTCCTTCCCCGGTTGAAAATGTGACCGTGAAGAGTGTCCAACTGGAAACATCCACCCATTCATTGTGTAACATTGTTGTCGTTGCTATACCTTCTTTTCTGTATTGCGTTTGAACGCGTGCTTTCTTGCTTCGATAAATCTTCCATTATTCCCTTGTTTTGCATGTTTCGTTTTACATTGTTGCGCCAAATGGCGGTTGTTTCTCAAGAAAATGATCGTGGTTCCTTTTGGAAATTTCGATTATGCTAGAATGGTTCAAGGATGAGCATAATTCCCCGCTTTGAACAACGAGATCTATAGGTTATCCTATAGATCTATCATTCGGAGTATATTGTATGAAATAGAAACTTCTTTATTGGCAATTTATTCGAGTCACGTATAAATCTATTTTATTTTACAGACTTTCGACCTTTGATTGAATTGCTCTTATATGATATTAATATATTCGTGTAGTGAGTTTGATGATTTTTATTGAAAAATCGTTTCGAGTATTCAGAAGTGAACGAAAATAAAATTCGAGACTTTCCTTATTTTTTCGCTTCCTTTTTGGACAAAGGTAGATAACACGTTAAAATAGAACAAACTGCAATAGAGAGGAATTATAGTATTTTACAAAAAAAGATGAAACGAAACGATTGGAAGAGAGAATAGCTTACATAATATGAAGCACGCCAACTGGATCATCGGTACAAAGCATCCTTGCGCCAGAAGAATTGGGAAGAGAATATTTCCACAGATCGACCCTATTCTTCCAACCATCATTACGAAACTTACTGCGATCGCCCTAGTTTTTCAAAGAAAAAATTCTATCTTATTATTATTTTTAAATTTCAATTTGGATATTGATTATATTTAACCTTAAAGAAGTTGGGAACATGATGACAGTTGCAGAAATAATGATATTTTGAGTATTATTCGTCAATCCAATGAAGAAACTTGACAACAATAACGTTAATAACGAATTAGATGACCAATAGAGACTAATTATACATATTAGCGATATTCCGTAACAAATAGCTGCAATCAACAATATCAGTATTATTGTTATTAAATTAATTTATATTACAAAATCACATGATGAATTCTTACCTAATAAGATTTTATGTCTCAAGTAATTCAGTATGAAGCTACTCGAGAGAAGAAAAAAGCTTCCTAAAATAGATACAATGATTGTGTTTACGTAAACAGACTCATTGACAACAATCTAGAATCATACAAAAAATAATATCATGTAATGTATAAATACAGAATTAAATTCATTAAAAAGAAATTATAAAAATTATCCTACGTTTTTACACGTCGCGTTTTCTGCAATGTTTTCAGAAGAGGTTGTGAAATCCAAAATTTCGCAAAATGTAAATTCGTGTTCTGCTGTCAGATTGTAACTCAATGGATCGAAATTTTCTAGGATCGTGAACAATTGGGGTTGCCACAATCGAAACGTATTGGTTCTATAAGATACAAAAAAATGAATAATTATAAATTTGACTTATTACTTGCTTTTTCTTGGATTGCTATTTTTTGATAAGATTATTATTTTTTCACTGTTTCTCGCGTTTTGTGGATTTATTTATTATCTCTGTTTTTACGTCATATGACTGATGATAAACGTCATTATACCTATCTGTTTTCTCGTTCCTTTGCAATGAAACAACGTATTTATATAGATAAAGCGAACATTCATATCACATATTAAAGAATTTGATTTTTGGTATTCTAATTGATTTTTAATAACAATCTATTTTTAGGAATTAATATAACACTATTGTATATCATAAATAATTATTAATATAGATAATAAAAGGGAACGCTTACGCAAACATCGACCCGAATTGCATGACAATGACCGAAAAAAGTCGAGACAAATATGGATTAGTGAAAATTACTTTCTTCTTCATATTTCCATCGTGATCAGCATTACTCGATTCTTCCGTGGAAGGAGGATCGTTTCGTAAATATTGAATCTTAAATAAAAATCATCATTATATAGATTTAATTATTTTTTTTAAAAAAGCGATATATATCTAAAAAATCATAGCAAATTATTAATATAATCATTCATAGGATATTCTCACCGGATATTCTTTCGGCGGTTTGCCCGTGTTTATGCTGTAAATCCTCTGGAAAACTTTCAACGCATCGTCCATACGACCCTGCGACATGAGAAACTTTGGACTTTCCGGAAACATGAAGAGACAAACAACACCGATCAGTATTGGTATACTACAGGCAGATAAGAAAAATCTCCAGGAATTGTAGACAAATGCTCCGTCCCAAAGAACGATGGACCACTCTTGAGGAATGATGATCAACGCGAGCGCTATAACATGAATTGATCCAACTCGTAAACAAAATGTTTTACAATCTGTCGTATATATCATACCTGAGCTTACGATATTTCCAAGTGTGATGCTAAAACCGATCAGTAATGGTATTTTCCCTCTTCCTTTGTTTCCATAGAATTCAGAAGAGTACGCCACGATGGAAGCGTGAGGACCGCTTATACTGACGTGAGATAATTATTATTGTTATCGTTAATAATAAAATTAATAAGGAAATAATAAAAATTTCAAAAACGAGGTTAAAAATCTCTTTCAGACTTACATGAAACCGTTAAGGAATTTAAAAAATAACAGCATCCAGAAATTTTGCGAGAATCCTGACAAAATGTTACATATACCGTCAGCTAAATAACCAAAGAGGAAAACGGTTCTTCTACCTTTGACATCCGCTATATAACCCCATAGAGTACCGCTGCAGACCATTCCTAAAATAATCCAAGGTATAATTTTAATGTTAGAATAAAGTATCCTTGCGCGTGAAAAGATAAGAATATACGAACCTATGTATACGATAGCAGTTAGGACACCCTTTTGATAGAAAGTTATTTGCAGATCGCATTCTGCAGAAGGAAGAATGATCCCAACACTGGAAGTGTTAAGGCTTGTTGACCATGACACAGGAATAATTGATAGAAGAAGAAAATATTGAAACTTTCCATAACCAGCTGCGGTAATGGCTCTCTCGAAATTTGCAGACTTCTCCGTTTTATTTTCTATATCTGTTACTTTACAAATAAAATTTCTTTACGTATGCTGTAATTAAAATATTGTTTTTTGCTGAAGAAAAGTCTCACTTGAATCAATTTTATTCTCTTCTGTTGGTTTATCTGGAAGAGTGACGATACTAATTGTACGTTCGTTCGACATTCTTGTAATTTTTTCAGATTGTCCGTGATTTTAAATGATTTACACCATGCGATCTCGCTTGAAACTTGTTTCTCGTGATGTAGTATACGCCTTTACTGGTCGTTTCTCGGATTTAATTGTCGGAGATACACCATGTCTCACAACGATTTAAATTGAACGGACTGATGTAAACTACACGAATTATTATCGTGACACAAGCAATAGTTAAGATATTCACAAACAATTTTATCTCATAGGAAAATAATTTATCACCAACATTATGTTATCACTGACGTAGTCGTAATGTAGTAATAACATAGATCAATTAATAAATGATAAATTTTATAAAAAGATTTCTTTTATTTTAAAATAATTATATGCATTAATTATCAATTACAGTCTTTTCTTTAATTTATGCGAGAATATTAAGAAAAAAAAATACATCGTGATGCAAAATTAAAACATTATCTTTTATTATCTACGTTGAATTTTTTGTAAATCTTTACGAATTAACTATGTTATTTTTTGTTTTAAGTAATGTAAAAAGTTTATATTATCACAATTGATACATCTGAATTCTATAAAATTATATATTTATATAATTTATATATTTTATAAATATTCCAAAGAAATCAAATCAGGATTATCCTAAACTAATCGAAATACATTAACAATTTAATTCAAAGTGATTTAGATTTATATTAGGATTATTTTACAATCGCTTCGAAATCATTTAAAAGTGATTAATAATTAATATAGTTTTTTATATTATCTGAAGGTTATTACAAGATTATATATATATATGATAATATAGATCATATATATATATATATATATATAGATTCAAAAAGATTTAAAATATCTGTTAATTAAAAAATAATTATAGAATTTTTTATTCAAATTTTCTTTGTTTTATTACTATTTTTTTCTATTTGTTCTCATCTTTTCTTTCGTCGTTATTATTATTATTATTAGAGAGTTCTTATTCTGAACTGGCCATTCAAACAATTTTTCAATTTCTTTTTTCATTATAGAATCTAAACTATAAGTAAAATTTCTTCAAACATTATTGAAACCATGTAATACTTTTTTCTCGATCTTAAAAATGGCAATTTCAACGAATAATTTGATCATATTAGAACATTTCACAAAATTTACTTAAGAATTGACTATGATCACGTTGGCACTAAATCATAGAACGTAATCATATATTGTGCACATCAGTCCAAATAAATAATAACGTGAAATGGAAATAAAAATTCAAAATCTATAAATTATACGTTATAATCAAAATGAATACAAAATATTTTATTACAGAAAATTTGAATTTCCACGTGATAAAAAAAATAGAGGACAAACAAAAATAATGCTTTGTTCAGGATAATTAGCAATGCAGTTGGATAACTTCGCGTTAACGATCAACAAATTATAGTCATTTCTTTTAAATCGCGGTAACTTACACGCTTCGCGTATTTTGACAGTAACTTTTGTTCTTTTGTCTTGAGTCGATACAGGAAATATCATGTCCACCCTGACCTTACATCCGTGATACCAACCAGATTGAATTCGTTGAAAACGATTGAAGCTCCTGCGAAACTAGTAGCCATTGTTCTCACAAGAATCTAGATTGATGATACGAAAAAGAATCCAAAAAATTGTAAGAATTCTAACGCTCCCCCGAATTGTTGCTAAAGTTCTATCCCTTTCCTTCCCTTTCATTTCTCGTAATTATTCCGATCTTTGATATTTCTCAATAATTCTAACAATTTTTCCAATAGTATTTCTAATGGAAACGATTATTATAATCTGATTGTTAAATGTTATCTAAATTTCTAATGTATTTTCTTTTTTTCTCCATATATAATAGTTTACTTTCGAAACGTTAAATCTTAAGTATATTTAATTAATACAAATGAATTTTCACTTGTATGCTCATCGTCTGAAAATATGCATATTTACCGAAATAAACCTCTAATAAAATTTCTCTTCATTTCATTAATATGTGTGCACATGTGCACGTGATTTGTTAATTACATTAGACGTGCTATTCTATAACGATAACACAATTTTCTATAGTTTAATTTTTATTCAAAGACTTCCACAAGTACATTTATTAATATCAAATAATACTAAAATATCAAACTTAATTATTACTACAATCAAATTAATAATACGATTTTATCATTCTTCTTTTGGTTTTTGAGTCGTATCTGACGATGAAGACGAACAATCATTTTTCGTAATTTGTTCGTGTTGATTGTTTTTAAATCGGTCCTTCTCCTGTCGATATTCCAACGGGTGCATGTACTTCGACACCTTGATCGAAAATAATTACAAGGTTATTTAGTCGCAAGAACGCGAAGCTCGTTACTGTGGATTAATTAAAATTTTTTGTTTTAAAACTCGTTGGAATCGATGTTTCGTGACCTGCTTTTTAAGCTGTTCGTACGATTCTAAAGCGAGAATCTAAAGCGAGAAATGAGAATTTTTCGCAAGCGTACGTACGTAGATATTTATGCTAATGTTTTATATATGATCTTTTTCCTTCTAAATTAATTAGGATCATAGTTGATTGGCCAATTTAAATATCGATGGCTTAATAATCAAAGGCAAGGAATTTCATAATATTAAATAGCAGACTAACACGTACACATATCTTAATGTGAAACGAGAGGAACACGTTTGATCGAGGGCACAGGAAATGCTGCGATCTTTCCTTCTTTCCCTTCTTTTTTTCTTTTTCTTTTCCTTTCGCGCTTACGTGTAGAGCAGACAGGTAAGTATCATGGATATGCACGTATATACACGAGCATTATCGCGTTCCTCGGTTTAATACGCATACTTGCCATTTAACCGCGGTAAGAAATGGTTTCTGTTATTCAACTGCGCACGTTTGATTTCGATCTAATGTTTGCGATCTTTCCGGCATCGAATCTAGCGGGATTCGTAGCGGTAAAGGACGATTAATATAAGCAGAAATCGTACGTCAGGATAATCGATTTTTATCCCAGGGAACTCGGTCAGAGACGGAGAAAACGATGATGCGACTTGTATCCGATAAGAAGATTTGTATCAGCTATATATTCCTTCGTAACAACATTGAAAATTAATCGTTTCACGCCTTGGATCGATAGTACAGCGCGACACCGTGTTCTTTCATAGAAATGTTAAGTCATCATACAATTATTCTAAAACAGGTTAATTGCCACAAAGCAAAGATAACTAGCGTATATACATTTCTTTCGTGATCACTTATTTTCTACCGAATTGCCGCGAAAAAATTTGTGAAACAGATTCAACATTTCCGTTTCGTGTCGTTAATTGATATCAAACCATTTTTTGACCCCGTTGTTACCCGCATTCATGTATGTGTAAGTCGATTGAAATTCGAATGTCTCGTACGTATCGTTACGCGCATTGTGAAAATGTTATTAATTGTCGTTCAACAGGAGCAATATACATATATAAATCGCCAGTCGAATAGGTACAACGCATCGCGTGATATAAACATCCGATATCTGAACACGCATCGGCGATGCAACCACGCTGGGGCGTGTAAGATTTTATACACGTGAGCAAGAAAGCACGTGAAACGAGGAGAAATACCAAGGGAACACCGAACTCTCAAGAAAGTTTCATCGGTATGATAATTAATTGTGCATTGACTGTCATAAATCTCTCTCATCTATCCTCGTATTAAGCGAAATCTTTTATGTGAAACACTTTACACGATCAATGTGCACCCTAATGAGCGAACTCGACGCTATGAATTAATGACACGGGTGTTAGCGAGTTATTCCGATAAAGCGGCTTGCCAACAATTAAATCGAACGATGATTCATAGGTTGGTTAAATTTGTATGATACGCTATGTTTTGTTCTTGATGCACATTGGTTTTTTTAAGAATTGGTAATTAATCAGTTATAATACAGTATGAAGTAATTGTGTTATACGGAATAAATGTTTAATTACTTGTTCTTCGTATTTCAAGTGACCTTTAAATATTCCAAACGAAATTAAACCAATAATGGTCGTGAGGATTATTCTTTGTATCTGAATTCTGTCATAAGGCCACTTAACCATGATATAACTGAAATGATTTGGCATGATTTTTACCAGATAAATGTAGTAAATATATATGTATACCTTATTCGAAGATATATAATAAAATTCTTACTTTTAAAAACATATTATTCATAATATTCATTTATATTGAATATTAACGTTTGATAAAATCAAAAATTGATTTTACAATAGACTTAGAATTTATGTCTTCATCGCGTGACTGAATACACAAGTCTTGATTAATTTCGAGATCGATATCGTTACTCTCTACTGTTATATTCAGTGTTACAAATTTAGAAGCATAAATATACGAAATTTTTATTTGTAAATAGAAATTAAAATAGAATGTTGCGTGTTTTCGAAATCATACAACATAAAATATAAAAGATTATAGCTAAACATAATATAAATTGCATTCAATACTAATCTCGTATGCATAATGACTTTATCGTAATCCTCAATGTCGTTCAATATCGCGTTTATGGGTTCATTGATAAAAGATACGTAGACACACGCGCGAAATTTCACCGTTATTTATATAACATTACACTTCGTCATTGGTTTTCTATACTTTTTTCTGTCCCTGGTTCATGAGATAATATCTATTTCAAGCTGAATATAGTCATCGAGTTATATTCATAATTTTTTCCGGTGAAAAGACACCTCTTCATCTACCAATCTACCGTTGGTAAAAATTACAAAAAAAATTTTTAATAAAATTTTTATTTGTAACAACAACCATTTGATATTTTCTTTATGTTAATGCTATTTTCGAATTACTAAATCGATAACTCTTAATCATATATAAAAATGCGTAAATAATAAATCGTTAAAATACGTGATTGCAATAGAGGCGCCTCGAGGCACGTATAGTTTCAAATTTCATCGTAAGATGGTGTTGAAATCGGAACAAGATGGCGTTCGGTCAATAGACGAATAGCAGGGAGGCCGGAGGCGCTCTCGAGGTTCGTGGGTGTTCTCAGCCCGGAGCTGGAGAGCCTTTAAGGCTGTATATCATTGACATTTTTTTCTCTATCGAAGTGAAATGGTCGACACGCGAGTGAAATGAAAAATGTTCCATAAAGAAGTGCATATTACGTATGCGTCGGCCTGAATGTGCCGTGTTTCTCGAACTCAAAAGATGCTGCCGTGTAAAGCGACGACAGAGAAGGCGCCTTCGCGAAACTGTCAGGA